CTGCTGTTGAACAGACCAACAAAATGAATGTATGAAGATTACATGTTGGATATCTACGTATCGAGTCTCACATCTACACTGAAAAATCAAATACAAGCTACCTTGGACAAAAATACCAGTGTACAAACCAAAAATCAGAATTATAAATGGCATGCAGGATACTGATAAACTGGGAGGAAACTTAAGAGAATCAACCTGGAGAAAGGAATCAAAACTGGGTTTATTTGTCAACAAAGTTTATTGTCTCAAAGAAGGAATGGGCAGAGTGCCAACTAAGAAACTGCTGGAAATTATCTATATGCAGAAGAAATAAAACCATCACAGGAACTCCTATAAGAGGCCCCAACAATTAAAAGTAACCTGGCACCCTTGGGAATTGCAGTCTATGTTCTTGTGCTTTTATTCTGAGAATCACCAGATTGCTTTAGGGAGTTTGTTTTCTTCCCCTCTTGAATATATATGTGACTAAATTTGTGTTTGCAAATCTAGGGGAAAAAAATAACAGGACTTGCAGAATTTGCTGAGCACCAGCAGTTCTTTGAAGATGATGGCAGGTGGAAAATATTTAGCATTTTTGAGGATTAGGAGCTGCAATACAGATTTTTTTTATTTTCTCTCTGGATTCAGAAAAATCTTGGGCAACGTCCTACCAAAAGAGACCACACCTTTCCAACTCAGGAAAAGAAACGCCTTAAAATTTTTTGGTTTGGTGTTCTTTTTTTTTTACTTTTAATTTCTTATTCTGACTCGATCATATAACAGGAGAGCCTGCTCTAAAGAGTGAAGTAAAAGGAACAACTAGAAGAAATTCTGTCTTTAAAGTCTGAAAGTATAAGGATGGAGATCATCATAGAGGGAATTTCATACTTCACTTCTAGTCACACTGATGCTCTCTCTATACATAGAAAAGATAACTCACTTTTCTCTCTGGTATATCTTACCACTTCGGAAATACATCCCTTTCATCCCACTCTGACTTGGTGTAAATGGTTACACCTTGTCCAGGCAATGCAAACTCGGGCTCAGTGTCTGTGTAGCACCTTACAAACAGTTTTCTCTACTGCCTCCGAGAATAAGAACAAGCTCCCATACAGGATGGCTGAGCCTTGCTCTGTCCTAACACAGCCCTCCGGCTCGAGAAGGGAGGCGTGCAGCACCTAGGGCATGGGTGCAACAGTGGGGACTGCATGCCTCTGCAAGGACAACACAGAGTCAAGGGCACCAAGCACAGCCCAAATGCAATGTCTTTATTGCCACTACAAAGCTTCATTACACTGGCAACCTGTGGGTCAGCACACTTCACGAGGATCCCGTGGTGCCCTGACACACAGGAAGGCTGACCCTTAGCTCTGAAACCTCACACACTACCCCTCCTCCCCCAGTCCTCCCACCTCCTCCTGTGGAAATTTAAGACTACTTCAAACTGCAGAGATTTGGGGCTTTTCCCCCAGAGGAATGATCACTGCCTACCTAGGAAAGAGATTAAGCCCCTCCCAAAGACACAAAGAGCTGGGACTACTCCCAAAGGAAGGCAAGCTGCACATCCTTCTCCCCAGCCATCCCTCCTCCACTGACCAGGCAGAAAGGGCACCTAAGCTGTGCTAGGAAAGAACTAATTGCAAAAGCAAGCCAGCTTGCCATCCAGGAAGACGTGGGGGCCAGCTGACATCCCCTTGCCCTAAGGAAGCACAGCGAGTGCATGCCAGAGCCGGCAGGTCGTCGTACAGCTCTCGCCAGGACTTACTGCGTTTAACCACGGCCAGCAGCTGACAGGGAGAAGGACAGCAGGGATGAAACCTCCAGACACCCAGGAGCCATAGGAACTTGCAGCCCGCAAGCGTCTAATATCTTTTTTTCCTCCTTCTTTTTTTTTTTTTTTTTTCAGTTCTGAAGGCATGTGACCGGCCTTCACATACCAGAGCTGACCCCTCCCAAAGCCTGCGATTTCCTAAGAGCCGAGAAGGATGTTACCCTCCCGCTTATTCATTACAGGACCAGGTTTCCTTGCCCTTAACGCATCAAAACCTCACTCCGCCCAGGGTCCGCGTGTCAGCTCCGCACCGGATCCCTCCGGACAGGTGCAAGAGGGTCCGTGGTGCTCAGCTACCTGCTGTGAGGAGGACATGGCCACGGGGAGACCAGGCTCTCCTAAAGGGCACACGGCTTTCAGTTTTCCAGGTGTAAAAGCACCAGCTCTTTGCTCTCACATCCGCCGTCCCCTTCTGCACTGGGCCGGGAAAGAGCTGCACGTGTTTCACGCTGTTCCCCCATAAACCGGCACTGGGAAGCTCCCTCCCCACACACTTTTCATGTCACCGAAACACCACGGCACAGGGCACTGCTGACGTTTTGGTTTCGGTTTTTGCTCGCTCGGGTTGGCAGCGCCGTTTCTGGAAAAAAGATGGGGCTCATGCTCCTTGCCGTCCCGCACTGCCACGTTGCCTTGCTTTGCTCCGAAACCCCTCCACCCCTTACCACGCATCCCAACACAATTCCCCCCCCCCTTCGCTTTGCACTTGCCAGTATCCACATGCTGAGACCCCACAGCTGCCCCCACCCCTATGGGAGGGGCTCCTCCCGCCGCTCTCCTGCCGGCAACCGCCCTCCGGAGCCGGGGCTGAGAGCGGGGGGAACCGGGGAGCGCTCGGGACCCGGGAGCGCTCGGGGGGAGCCCTTGGGGGGAGCCCTTGGGGGGAGCCCTCGGCCGGGCAGCGCGCAGGGAGCGCAGGTCAGGCACGGCGGGGCGGAGGGCTTGCCTCCCCTGCCTCCTCCTTCTCCTCCTCCTCCTCCTCCGGGAGGGCTGGACCACTGCGGTGGGTGCCCCCCGTTGCTCTGCAGCGCCAGGCGGGCGCTACGCGTGAGGAACTGCAGCCCCGAGGCACAACCTTAGGCTCACGGCACCGCCGGAAAGGAGAACTTCGGCGGTAGGCAGCGGTGCCGCAGAGCCTGCCATACACGTATCACACACGTGGACTTAAACGAGCCTCGGATCGCTTCAGGCAACACAACCGCGCCCGCAAACTCCCCGAGCAGACACGGCTCGCAGGGGCAGTTTCTGGCTCGCCTGAGCATCGCCAGGACGCACCGTCGTGACGCCTCAGCGAATAAACCCCGCGCCACCCCCCGGCATGCACGCAGCGCTTCTCACTCACGAACTGCAACGCCGTGATTCCTCGCTGGTTCCAACAAAACAGCACACGCGGCCTGTCAGTCACCTGCACAACACAACATGCACATCTGGTGCGACGCAACATGATACTCGGAATACCGGGCAGGGAGGGGTCGTGTTGGCTATCAGGTTATTGCTGGGAGGATTACTCTGTTGGCCATATCCATGGCTGGCCATACTGCTGCTTTCTCTATTGGCACCTACCTTAAGTGAGCCCTCGAGCCTTGTCCCTAACAGAGCCTGCAGACCACACCAGTGCAGCTTCCTAACAAACCCGCTGCTGGGGACACTTCTTTGGTTTTGGGGTTTTTTTGTTTTTTTTTTTTTATTTGTTAAGGGGAGGGGAAAAAAAAGAAGAATTTCAAAACCCTCTGTTGGTTTATCAGTATGGCTGCAAATTTAAACTAAAATTAATTCCTAGTGAAATCAACATTAGCCAGGCACCTAATGAGACTCACCTAAGTACACCTTGTCTTTGTGGTAACTTTTGTCTTGATGAGCCAATGAGGGTCCTACTTGAAAATATCTTCTAGATGTTAGATGCTGCAACAATGGGGTAACAGAATCAGGGTCTGTATGCACTACTTGTCCTCCGCTGCCCAATTTTATGTCTCTGGTTTTGGTATAAGTAAGGAGCTGCAAGTGCCAAGACTGATCTCAGTTTCTGGCTTCATAGAGGTTATTGCAGGTTAGCAGTCACTTATTGCCTATTGTCACCATGCATGTACAAGATTTAAGCACCTTTTTTACTGTAGGATTGATGCAAAAATATTTTAAACTTCGAAGTCCTTCTGCCTTTGATTTAAGAGCAAATCTTTCATCCATAAAGTTAACAAAACTACTTCTGCTCAAAGGACTTCTTTCATGCTAGCACAAAAGTAATAAAACAGATAAAAGATCTACCACTGCTGACTCCCAGGAAAGCTCAAATTAGTTTCATCTAAGGGAGTAGTCTAAGGACTCTTAGATAACATCCCGTCCCTGGAAGATGGAGACCAGAGGCATTTTTGTTACTCACAAGGTCCCTCATCCCTTTGCAGATGAGTGGCACCCTCACCACTCTGCAGATTATTGCTTTTGACACAACCTCCCACTTTGTCTGTGGCTGCCTTTCGCTCTCCCCACCCTCTCTGACAGCACATGAGGAAACTTGGCTTAGAGTGAGTTTGTACAATTGTACAGTATTTTCAGCCTACTTTTTGCTTCTCACGTGACTCTTTCTTTTAATAGGTTTTCTTATCTCTCCCTTTACCTAAACGGAAATTATTAACATTTTTGCAACACTGCCTCCTCTCTCAATAAGTAACTACTGCACAAATCACAGCCACACCTAACAATCTCTAGTCCTGTGAATGTGGTGGGAGCAAAACCTCATCCCAGCTGAAGTAATGCTCAAAACTCCCACCGACCTCAAGATAGGAAAAGCTATGCCCAGAGCCACACCTTTAACATCCAAATCACAAACTGCATTTGGACAACTCATCCATGTTCCAATTCAGGTAGGAATTGGAGCTGAAAAAGGTTCATCTGTAACCAGTAACTAACTCCTCCAGAGACAGGATCCAGAGATTTGACAATACCAGCCAGACTTTTATCAACACAAGTATCACCAATAAACCTTCATATAATGAATTTCCACTTTTCTAATGAATGGCAGTTTTGGATGGCTCACTTCTCTCCTGCAGCTCACTCTGTCACACTGGAAATCATTCTCTGTAGAAAATTTGCAGTATTGAAAGAGAAAAAACTACACTCTTCAACAGTACACTGAAGTAAACAGAGACTGGGGAAAAATCAGCAGGCACACAAAAAGCTCACCCACTGCTTTTACCTTTCCAGATGAGGGACTTCTGTGACATCTCCTCTGAAGAGTGTTTTGCTTGTATCCTTTAAGCCATTGGCGATGCCTTCACCACATCCCTTCACCTCCCTGTCAGGGACATCTGGCTGCCCCAAGGCTGATGTCCGATCTAAAAACTGTCCACCCTCCTTCATGCGCTGCTGGATCATGGGAGTGAGTGGCATCTCAAAGCTGAAGTAGCTGTCGGGCTCCGAGTACAAGGTCTCCAGTGACTCTGCGCTGTAGTATAAAGATGCGTTGTCTAGGATGTTTTCGAACTGTGAGCTGTACAGATCAGTGGAGACGTCGGAGTGCCTCTGCCCAAGGAAATCTTCATATCCTCCTGCGGCTGCTTCGCCCTCCTCCGTCATCCTGAAAATTAACCAGAAACAGCATGTTTCAGCTTGGGGGCAAGGTTTGGGCTTCTGGTTGAACCTTCTCGCACTTTCCGCCTTGGTGAACAGAAAGGTCAGCGTGGCTTTGTGCGGGAGAGGGCACTGCAGGTAAAATGCTAGCTTCTCCTTCCACCACCTCTGTTTATGATTGGCACCACCTCCCTCTCTGGGGACATAAAAAGAAACAATCTTCTGGGTAAAAGAGGGGGCTGGGGGACAAGCTAATGTTGTCTAACAGAGAAATCAGCTGCTTATGTGCAAAGGAGAAAATGCACTCACATACACATAAGGTATGTCCTAACACCAGTGCCAGGCCAGAGGCTGCACATCTTGGAGATGTGTACTCAGACAGAGCCTCTGCCCCGAAGGATAGTTTACTAGCTCCTAGGACTGGGGTCTTCAGCAAAAAGCTGAAGGAAATCACTCCAAAATGCAAAGGGAAGCAAGTGCAATTAAACACACGGAGCCAGGAGAACCAGATTTGAAGGGAGAAGACTCAGCCTGCTTGCTGATTTACAGGGGAAGGTGCAGCACCCCCCTGTGCAGCACCTTCTCTGCCACACCAAATACAGTGGGGCTCCTCACAGCACATGCCAGAGGTTAGGGCTGCCAGCCTGAGTAATCCCGTGTGCTAGCCAAAGCAAAACTCCACATATCCCATGGTGCAGAGGCAGGAGAGCCTCCCTTGCTGAGATCCTGTTGTCTCATCAGCAAACAGCTCAACAGGTCAGAGCGGGCCTAGTTTGCTCAGAGCACACCAACTTTGTCAAAGATGTGCATCAGGAAAGAAAGCAAGCAAATCAGGATGCTCTCATAAAAAGCAGAGCACACTTCTTGCAGTATGTATAGCAAAAATTCTATTAACATAGATAGACAGATAGATAGATAGATAGATAGATAGATAGATAGATAGATAGATAGATAGATAGAGAAAGCACATCACAGCATTTACTCTCTTATAATCTACAAGGCCCTGGATAAAATGTCTTTATTATCTAACCTCTCCGAAGTGTTCACACTGTTCTTGCTCAAACTCTGCCTGAAATCAGAAAATCTGGCCAGGCGCATATGGGCAGGCCTGCATGCTGCCTTATTTAATTACATGTCATGTCTGGATCCCAACTACACCTGCTACAGATGCCTCCTCACACAGGCATCACTGTGCAAATAGCAAGACGTGTTTATGTTTCAAAACCTGAGATGGACTTCAAACTTCAGCAAGGTGGTGTGTAGGGGATTCAGTCCAAACTTCATGCACTAGCCACCACCAGCCAGGAATCACTACCACAGACACCACACTGAAGGCAGCAGACAAACATTTGTTGTTTCTCATTAGCTTCTAAAGAGCTAATACCACCCGACCCCTGCACCCTTCCAAGCACGGTCTCACCTGCCCTGGCCTCTCACTAGCACAGACGCCTCCTCCTCCACACGGTTCTTCCTGTCCTTCATGGAAACTTCATCCTTCTCACTTTCATTGGGTGGTGCTAGAGGAGTGGCTCCAGATGCAGCGGGTCCCAGCCTTGGGTCCTCACAGACCTCACTCCATGCGCTGTCTGGAGAGGAGAGCAGGCCTGGAGAGACCATTGGTGATGCAGGGTGGCTGGATGTTTTGGGGAATGCCTTTCTCTCCACAGACGAAGAGTCCACCAGTGAGTGCTTCTTTCTTCTCTGCTCCTCAGCTTTCTGCAGCCATAAAATCTCCACCCCTTGAAATTCTACATGTTTACTCACAGCTGCCTCTTTAGCGAGCCTCCTCTCAGGACCCATTTGCATTTTACCTTGACTGTACCCCGAAAACTCCTCAGGACATGCCCACCCCTCCACTCTCCTGGCTGCTTCCCGGTTAGTCACAGATGGTCTGTGACAGCTTTGTTCCTGCACTGCATGGACCTCGTCAGCCTTATTACTAATGGCTTGCAAGGACTCGGACTGCTTTTCTCCAGTCCATATTGCAGCCAGACCTTCCTCCACGACCAAATGCTTTTTTTCCTCAGCTGTTCGTTCAGAAGGAAGAGGCACGTCTGAGAGTTTTTCTTGGCCTCCTGGAACTGGTTCTCTGGCTGCCTGCACATTTTGGCTGCCAGTAACACTCTTTTTTTCCATTTGCGTCTCTGAATCGAGAGAAGTATTTGCTCTCTCTTGCACCTTTGCTGCTTCTAACCGTCGAGAGATTTTCATAATCTCTGGCAGGTTACCCGCAGGCTGCACACCTTCTTCTGGGGCGTGCAGCTGAGCTGCCCCAGCATCAGGTCTCGAATTATCTGCAGGAGCTGCACACTGAGGAATGGGCCTGACGTGGTGGTGACTGTCCCGTCTTTCTGGCCGGCGTGTCACAGGCTCTGCGTGGCGTGCCGGTGAAGCTGTCGGCTCGTGTCTGCTTGGCTCCACGGTGCCATACTCTGGAAATTCATTGATGATGGTATGAGGAAGCAAAGTGCTGCTTCCACGGCCACTACCTGCAAAGAGAGGGAAAAAAAAATGGATTTATCTTCCACATGCACAAAGTAAAAAAAGCCTGACCTCCCTTCCGAGGCCTCTCCTAAAATTGAGTAACTACGCTCTGCCCAGCAGGGAAAATACCGTTCAGTTTAATTCAGTTCTGAACACTCTCACAACTGCAGTTATCCAGAGCTGGTCTTTTTACATAGGAGTTTTTGGGCAGCCCTACTTTGGGAGTGTGCACTACAGAGGAAGGAATGCTAGAAATGTCTGCTACACTTCAGAAAGGGTCCCTGTGGCCCAGGAACGGTCTGAGGCCACAGGCCAGGCGCACAGGCTGAAGAAAGCAGATATTCAGAGGTCTGACATCCATCCAAAGAATGCACCACACATGATGGTTTTACTTAAAAAAGAAGGTTTCAGGTCATTTTCACTTTTAAAGGTGAAACACTGGGAAGATAATCAGCCACACTCCGCATGTTCCACAGCCTTGATAAAACCAATTAGCTAAATTACAACGCAATTAATGAGCAATTCAACTTTATGCCAGCACTTCCTTTAACAACTCAGGTAGCTGAAGGTCATTTTGCAGTGGTGGATGCACACCAAGCAGTTCCCATTTGCTGTTGCAGCAAATACGCTGCTGCACAGAAAGCTTACCACCCCTCCCTTCCTCATGCTGCTTTTCCAGCTGATGTAAACAAAGCAGGAGCAAAAATGGATGGTCCCATTTTCAAAGTGCCAAGCACCCAGTGGCTCCCATTGTTGTGGGTAACAGAGAACCATCTGTCCTCAGAAGGACCTCAGGGATCGCACAATGACGGATACTTGGCCACCTTATGTCATGGCCCAAGGAGAAACTGAGCTCTTGGAAAAAAAAGCAAAACAAAACAAACCAACAAAAACAATCCAACCAGAAACTGCTGCATTTGTTGCATCCATCTGGGAAAAAAAAACTGGCCTGGAGTATAAAAGTGCTTTAAATCAAACAGCACGGTGGCCAGACCCAAACACCTACTCTGAAAAACGTCAGGGTGACAGCTCTGAAACCAGACACCAACATGCATTTGGATGCTTTGCTTCCACTCAAGTTGCATCTCTGGGTACTGTACTGCAAACTGATCACCATCTCCACTCCAGGCAGGCTGGCCACAGGCTGAGGCAAAAGCCATGTAGCTGTGGTTAATGATAGGCTGAGTTCAAGGTGAAAGAGAGGATAATTTAATGCAAGCTCAGCACTGCATTAATGTGGCTACCTATGTGCCAGTGGTTTGTAAAGACAAGCAGAAGCTCACACCTGCCAGCTCACTATCCAGTATATCTAGCCACAGGGTAATTACCACACACTGTGCGTGGTGCAGGATCAAAGTGACAGACTTGGACTGTGCCAAGCCAAATCTCTTCCCCAGTAGGTTCTCCAGATCTCATCTCCATGTCTTTGATTTAATAACTATATAATAAAAAGTCAGTGGGTCAGGTTTCACCCAGATCACTTGGTGGTTGTTGAGGACAAATGACCAGACAAAGCAGGGACCTCTTCTCTCCTGCAAGGTCCCAGGGAGCTGTAAGGAGCAATGATGCCCACAATTGCATCACCAGACTGCCTTGATGGCAGGGTTTCCAACACGCAGATGTGGGTGCACCCAGGGAACTTTTTCCAACTGCCCAAAGCACCAGACAAACAGCTCCCCTTGCACACAACTCAGCCACGCAGTGCTTGGTGCATTCCAAGCCCACACTTTTCATGGCACAGACACTAGGTTGCCACTGGGGGACACTTCCACCAGGACTCACATAGGAGATTAATGCTTCGTGGTTGCAACATTCCTACACCTGCATCAGGCCAACCCCAAGCCAGCAAAAGGCCCTGCTTCCCCATCTCACAACCCTGGACTGCTCTAACGCAGCAACCTTAGTGCTTGATGCTCTCTCAGCACTAGAGATGTGTCTGATGTCTAGAGATGGGATTTTTTAGGAGAGAACTGCTGAGAGGGAGCCTGTCACTATAGATGCTAACGTAAACCCTTCTTCATGGACGCATCCACCTACAGCGACTCTCAGTGTGCAACCCTACGAGCAGGAGGTACCCCAGCTGGGCTCCCCTCATGCCCACAGCACTGTGGCACAGTGCTAGGCCAGGCCACTCTTTGGCTGCATTGCCCAAAAAAAAAGGTGATGCATAGAGCCCCAGGAGCTGGGATGCCCCGTGCCTCACTCCAACCCACACACCCCGCCTCGTTGGAAGGAAGCCCAGAGCGTCGGTCCCCAGCCTCCTGTGGGGCTGGGAGGCAGCCAATGTGCTCCAGAGGCCAAGCCCTAACAAGGCACCACACACAGACCCTGCCAAGGGGCCAGGCTCTTCTCTGCTAATTGCTGTCTTAGCTTCTGAACCGACACAAGGGAAACAGAAGCAGCCTTATTTCTGGAGGTGAATGCTAAGTGTGCTGCTGCGCGTCCCCCTCTGCCGCCGACAGCCACTGCTGACTGTAAGCAATCTTGAGCAAGTTTCTGATTTACTTCTCCTCCTGAACTTCATCCCAAGCAAACTTTACCCTCTGGCAGACTCCAGAAGAGGTACACATACATGCACACGCGGGCATGGAGAGATGGGCAGGAGCAGGGAGTGTGTTCACGGGTACTCCTGTCTGCCACACTTGCGAACTGTGTTCCATTTGGACAAGAGAGCAGAACTTTCACAGTAGAAATTTAAGCTGTTTTCTGCAGTGAGATGTCAGCATCCCTGCTCTGGAAGGACTGCTGCTGCTACTGCTGCTCTGTGTGAGCACAAGTCAGTGGGATTCTTACCTTCATGGCATACTGCAGGAATATTGCCTAATTTTCTGTCTGATTAAAAAAAAATTCATATATGGCACCAAAGCAGCATTCTGTCCCCATTATGTTAGGTACCACCATGCACATGACTACCAAGGCCTTCACTCTTCGAGGTAAATCACAACCAATCACCCCCTGCTCCTAAAACAGCAAAGCCTTTCCCTTTGCTCAGAGAGCTATTTCAGGTACCAGAGCTTAGAGGAGCTTGAGCTCTTTAAGGGAAACTCCTCCCTTATTCCCATCCACCACCACAGCATCATGTCTTGCTGCAGCTACTGGCATATCCTGTCCAACCCATCCCCCAATATGACTGCATTACAAACAAGGCTAGAAAGACAACAACAAAATTTAAGGACTGCACTGAAGATGCACAGGGAAAAAAAACACCCATCACCAAACAAACAAAGAAAGGACACACACTTTCAGGTAACACCAATTTCTACTTTGCATTGAAGGTGGCTTCTTTCAACAAAGGAAAAAAAAAAGAAGGAAAAAAAGAAAGAAATGGATAGAGAAAAAGGTAAAATAGAGAGGGGGTGAGTGACTAGCAAACTGAGACGGGGCAAATATAACGTAACAGCACTTGGCAGCCTTTCTGAAGACTAGACGTTGAAAGCATTAATGACTTAAATCAGGCATAGATATGATATTTCATAGGTAAACAACCATTCCATGTCAAGCAAGCTTGTCTACAGCATAATAAAAGGAAATTCTAGGAAGCAAAACACAAGTTAAAAGCATAGACAGACATTTTGGTTACAGGTACATTTTACAAAAGAATGGTGTGAGTGTCTCTCTCTATACAATATATATATATATATATATTAGCTAGCTCCAGAAATTAGATATATTTGCTTGAACAGTCTCCTTACTCACAGAAGTTACTGTAGCTCCAGCAGTTACCCATTGGTCAAAGAAATAAAATGCACAGATCATCAGTTTATCTACAGCGATACCAGCTAATTCAATTGCTGCTGTTCTAGTCAACTGGAATCAAAATAGTTTCAAATTTCCTGGCAGCTGGTGCCCTGCACTGCACACAGTGATGTAAATGGATGCTTTCTGAGTATTATGAAACTGATGGGGGAACTGCAGTCTCATTCAGTCTATCGCAGGAGCTAAGGAGTCCACCTTGGCAGCTTGCAGGGGGGAAAAAAAACATTTCCTCCAGCAAGGCTGCCTGACGGCATGCCAGGGAGACGTCCGTGCTTAGCTGCTGCCGTTTATTGCAACCGCGTCCGTAAGGGAGGAATCGGGTGGAATGGCGATGCTGAGAGTCATGTGCCGGTTTCGGAGCGCAGGATGCTTTATGGCATTTCAGCATCAGTGAGCTGGAAGCACTCGCTAAGCAGCCTAGTCATCTTGCATTTTATGAGCACAGGCAGCACACGGGTGAGCGGGCGTGCGGCGCCACGGCAGCCGTGCTTTCTCCGTATTTCTTGCCACTGTTCGTGGATGGCAAATCGGGGCAAGCAAAAAGCAATGAGTGCGTTAAAGGTGAAACGAATCTCCAGGTGACAGAGCTTAATGAACGAGTCGCAGGATTTACGGTATTGTATCATTACTGCAGCCCGCCAGAGGGGAGGGTTACACGTATCTCCTTGTCCTGCACTCCCTCAAGTTACAACTTCTTGGGGTCACTAAAACTATTCCAAGTGATATAGCCTGCTCGTGCTGAGATGGAGAGGCCGTCCCCCGCGAGAGGGGAGGGATGCTGCACAGCCTCTGGCAGCCTTTCGCAGCAGCCCTTTTTCCACATGATGTCATTCTCCATGCTGTGATAGGTCCTGCCTGGCTGGCGTAGCCAAAGCCAGGGGATTAACATAATGCAAGCACGGTGCTTTTGTAACTGGACTGCAAACGTCCACACCGGACTCGGGCGCGGGGTTTTCTGCAGCTTGCAGCCGCTCTAGGTTTTTTGGGCAACTGGCTTGACCCAAAAAGGGGAAGTGGAGCCAGAACTTTGTCCCTTCTAAAGTTACAGCGGCACTACGTAAAAACAAATTGGTGGAAATGGGGAAGCTGAGTGAGAGAGAGAGGGAAGCGGGGGGAAGAGGTAGGGGAGAGCTGTCTAGAAATAAGCCCTGGTTCAATGCCTCTGTGCCTTAGCAGACATGCAGGGAAGATAGAGGGGACCAGAGGTATAGCAGAGCCCACACAGAAGTGCCCACATTGGCTGAGATTCTTCACCTCAAAAAGAGACAACCAGAGGGAGTCCTTGCTGTGGTTACTGGGAGGTTTGACACAGAGCCCAGCAGCATGCACAGGCAGCGTGCTCCTTGCACTCACCATGCTCGAACAGCCAGGCAGTGGTGTGGCAGCTGGCAGCTCAGAGTTACCCAGAAATTAACTGGTTCAAGGAAGAAAATAATCCCCCTGCAAGCACCCAGGGGCAGTGTGTCGCTCAGGAAATCCCCCACCCACAGCTTGCTACATACTGGAGGGGGTTATCAAAGAAGTACTGCTCACCACTGCTCTTGCCCAGTTCCCTAAATTCGGGGGAGGGGGGAGGGGGGTTGGGCTACCAGAGGCTGTGCGAGGTGTACCTTCAGTCTGCCACAGGACAGTCACCATGCTAGGTAAATTTGTCCCAAATCTCTGCTAGCCCAGTCCCAGAGCTGGAGTCTGGTAGTTATGTGATGGCCAAGTTGTCATGGCTTGAGAAACAGAGTAAGAAAAGCTGCTAGGTCAAGAATGTAGATTCTGCCCATTAAGAAAACACTGACCAAAACAGCATGTGAAATATAGGGGACACAGTGTGTCTGTTTGAGTGTTTGTGTGGTTTTTTTTACAATTGCACAAGTTCTAACCCTGTTCCTCATGGAAAGGCTTATATAAGCAGTGCTGTGACTCGGCTGCATTTTTTTTTTACCCCACAATGGTGGGGTAACTAATTCCCAGTGGTAAGCAGGGTTTGGGACCACTTGCATAACCCCAACTGCACTGAATTAAGAGTCCTCCAAAGAGCCCCATACCTTTTGCCCTGCTGCAGGAAGGATGGCACCTTGCCACAGCAGCTCTCAGGCCTACGGTGAGCTCAAAACAGGACAAAGTCCAAAACTAACATGCAGCACGTGCTGAGAGGATTTAGTGAGAAGGATTATCCACTACAAATTGCTGCATGGGCCACAGATGGTCAGTGAGATAGCTCAGTCCCAAGAGTCATTACCCTGGAAAGCAAAATGGTAGAGTGAAACATCTGTTAGCATGAGCAGGAACAGGAGGGAACACAAAGAGAGTATCTGGGCTCCTTATCCTGATGTAAAAGGGTGTGGATGAGTCTTACAATATTCAATGCACTTTTCTTCTTTAAAGCCCCACACCCTGGAGTAACATGGCTGTGAGAATCTCAAGCTTTGGTTTAAGACTTATGTTTGAAAAAACTCATAAACCCAGAATGTAAAAGACAGATCCAAAAAGAATCTGAAATTTTCTATTTTTCTACTGCTGTGATTTAGAAAGGAAGCAGCTAACAGGTGATTTTCTAAGTGTAGATACACACAGTGACAGCAAGAATTACTTTAAAAGCTCCCTAAGAGCCTTCAGCTGAAGAACAAACTTCTGGAGCAGTGACAACTCACAGCTGCTTTCACACTTGCAGCATCTACAAAGACTTTACAGCCTCTCTAAATCCACTTGTAATTAATGTTATATATTTAAAATATTGTATTTTTAGAGAACCTTCTCAAAACACTCAAAAAATTGCTTTCAGGAAGCAACAATGGCTTTAAAAAATCCCACACTACTACTAGACACAGATCTCAGAAACTGTGGGTTTTTTGCAGATCCATCCAGAAACAAGGCACATCTGCAGAAAAGGATGTCCTTTACTGCATTTCAGGGTTTGGGACCAATTAACCAGGCTAAGAGTAAGCTTGCTAAGCAGTCCTCAAAGCACTCCGGGAGCTGGATATCAACTTACGCACCCCACTAAAACAAAAATAGGACACAGAGGGACATACATGTGTGTCTCCCAGGCTCCAAGTATTTGTTGCTAAAGGACAAGCTATGCAGCTGGACATTGCATAGTAACTTTTCAGCAAGTTCTCACAGGGAATGAGATTCCCTTCCTCAGGAAGCTGGACAGAGCTAAATAAACAACGCGGGGGTCTAGAGCAGAAGGCACTTGTTAGAGCAGTGAACTTGTTGTACGCCGTGTTACACTTCTTCAGTGTGGTAACAGCCCACAACTGCATCTACCCCCGTAACTTTAGTTAAATGCCCTCTCCATGTTCTTATCAAGGCATCTCCAGCAGCAGGTTAACATGCATCATTTCCTTCAGAAAGCTTCAGAAGTGAAGCAAGACTACAGCACGATGGAGTTGGTTGGTTGCTGTTTTGTTGGTTTGTGTTGGTTTGCTGCCCGTCTCACCAGATGATGGGGCTGAAGCTAAGGAGAGGAGAGGAGGCCATGGTGACAAGCAAAAATGCAGCTGTGCCCCACAGTACCTGCCTACAGCCAAAAGTCAGCTGGCTGAGCCTCCCCTGTTGTGCCCACTGACCTGGATGTATCATTTTCTGTCTGCCCAATGGAAGGGAACGGCCTGGCTGCCTCCAGGAAAGTGTTGCTGAGCCCTGCCAGCTTCAGCCGAGTTCAGCCTGTGCCACATGTGCTCGGAGCATCTGATGTGGCCAGACATTGATGGGCTGCCAGCATCACCGGGTCCCCAAATATTTCTGCGCTCACATCATCACGGCTCTCAGCTTCAGTGAACAGGCCACAGACTGGGAGGCAATTACTGGCTTAACTCTGGCATTTCCTAACTTCTGAGTGTTTAATTTTGCACATTTAAAAAACAATAAACAAACAGCCCCTATTTTAATGATTATTTGTACTAAACCCTTGGCCTTCAAACAACTCTGTTGTTTACCAAGTCGAGGATGTGGTAATCTCCTCCCCACAGCTGAAGGTTATGATAACTTGAACTATCCAGCTTTCAAGTGCAGGTCACAAGACATACAATTTCCTCCTGTGGAGCAAGGGACTTAGCATAATGCCTTGTGCCCCTTTAGTTCTCCTCTCCCTGGGACTGGAAACGCAGACATCCATCACACCACACCTGAGGGCCCCAGAGCATGCCTCAGCTTCTCCCAGCCCCAGGAAGAGGGACTCAGAAGTTCAAAGGGAGACAGCAGGACAGCTCCCCGTCACGCAGACGAGATGCAGAGCACAGTGCAACCTGTCCTCCTGCACCACCATTAATTTTTCCATGTGCACAGTCCGATGTGACAGTGCTCTTCTGACAGCACTGTAAGAGCTTGCTGCTCTCCAGAAATGACCTGGTTTACTCCAAGTTGGAGTGAAAGAGGAATACTCAGCACAGCCAGTGAACACGCTGGTGCCACAGAGGTAATCACTTCTTACAGTGCACAAACTCAGCTGGAAAGTTTTAATACAGTACCTCTGGAGACTTAAATTAAAAAAGTTAACCTTCTTTTTGCATCACTGCCAACCAGCAGTGCCAAACATCAGGGATATCTATGAGAAAACTATTGATTACACACTGAGATTTAAAAAATCCTGTGGGTCTTCAGTGTGTCAGAGAATGTCCCATCTAGTGGGACACTAAAAGCAACAACAACAACAACAAAAAAAAGGCTGAGAGAGTCAAGTACGTCAGCAGGATGATGAAATTATAATTAAGGGGGAGGGGGCACCACAGGTCTGAGCTTTCTGTATTCCAGCCTTGTGTGTGTTCCTGTTAAATGCTGCAGGAGATCTGATGTACCTGTCCTCCACCGTAATTAGGCAACATGAACGAGAAAAATCAGGCAGTCCTCCAACCCTCAAAAAATGCAGTTTTGCACCTTTTCGAGAAAGCAGAGCTGCAGAGGAATATACCAGACCAGGGAGCCCAGACTTTCAGGATTGCCTGGAGATGGAAAGAGCAAGAGATGAAAGCATGACAGAGGGTGGTGCCTCAAAATGGAAAGCAATGGGGTTAGAGCACTGGGCAAGACTACAGTCAGCAGTTTGGGCTGTCATGAGAACAATGTAACGTGAGTGCCTGTGGTCTGAGGGCAGTTTTTTAGAGTGAGGATCAGGAAGGTGCCACTACTGTCTAATGCACAGAGGATGCAGCAGAGCTGGACATGCAAGCCTTGAAGTGACACAGAGAAAGCAAGCAAGGCAGAAGATGAAGGACAACCTAGTGCGTCAGGAGGGCTCATTTTACACAGATACTAGGGTAATTTTCTTAGGGCTGTTTCAGTCAGCATCATAAGACCATGAAAAGGCTTTGCTTGTACAAAAAAGCAGCCATTGTGTTCTTCCTTTGCTCTTGAAACAGGTTATAGAAGTTCTACAGCAAAAGCAATGATTTCCATGACTGGGGTTCAGGAGGGGGTATGCTGCATGGGTCAAAGTATGTGTTTGGTTTTGTTTCATGTGTCAGCTGTGGCATTGTTTGACCCCTTCCATGATTCAGCACACAATGCCAGGAGAAAGTAAGCCTTTTTATTAGAATTGTTCTTCTGGCGTTGTTTGGGGGTTTTTTGTTACTCAGTTTTTGCTGGCTTAAGGTTGCTAAGCAAACAGATGAGCACAAGAACTAGCATGAAACAGTCCGTGGCAGTGTGTGTCTGGGACCATCTCTTTTGGCAGAAGCAAGCTGTTAAATGAGCTCAGTTGCCTCATGACACCTCACTGAACACAAAACAGCAAGTGACAGGCTTTCCAAAAAGCTATTTGTTGCACCAGGAATTCAAAACCAAGCTTCTTCCAGCAGCTGTTGGGAAACACCAGATTTGCATAGCAACACAGGCACTATTTGCACAGGGCTTTTTTGTGAGGGACGAGATTACACCCTCTGTTACACAGGAGGGATGAAAGCTTTCTCCTCCCAGAAGCATCAGAGAAAAGAATGTTTATTAATCTTAAGAAGCTATTTTCTTCCTAACAACAGTCTTGGATTTATTTTCTCATATAACAGGAATTATGGGGTATTTGGCCTTCATGTTTACTTAAGGAATTAATTTGTAGCATCCCCCACTGTTTTCCCCATGAAAGCACTTTTTAGGACTAAGCCATGCTGCCAGGGTTTGTTTTTTTTTTTCTTTTTGGTATTTAAACATATTAACTGCAAAGTCATAAAAATTAGGACTGTAACATGCCTAAGCCTAAAGATAAGTCTGTTCAATAGACATCACTGTTTCTGTGGCATTTCCAGAGCAGAGTATGTTTCCATATACAACAAGCACCCTTTATGTCCACGAGTCTGAGAAGACGTCTTGTCCAACCCAGCCAAATTCAGTTTCTAAAAAACATTTTCTTTAGCTGGAAGGCAGAAGGCTGGGGTTTTGCCAGGGAAGGTGGCCAGGCTGTGCAGGGGCACGTGGCTGCACGTGGTGCATCCTGCCTGCTCCCACTGGAAAGCAGCAGCCCCAGGAGAGGGGTCTGCAGGGAGATGTGTGGCCCCGAGCCCTCCCACAATGAGATGAGGGTCCCAGGGCCTTGGACCTCCTCCTGCTCCAAGTAAGGCATTCAGGGCAGGAGGATGGGCAACAAGACAAGAGAGGAGAGGAGCCAGACATGAGGCATCACACAGTAAAGGCAAGAGCACGAGGGCATCAGCAATCACAAGTATCCCAGACGAAACCAGACTGAGGACAGCAAAGGAAAGAAATTATGAGAAAATTTTTTTATGCAACAGCTTTATTAGCACTTGGATATCATTGATGAAAAACCTCTTCTAGGTTATATGCTAGAAGGCATCTAACTTTTTATTTTCCCTCCTCTCACCTATGAAAATGACCACAAGCTTCAACCTGGAAGGTAAAAATCAGCACAGGAGCTTACTAACAAAGTATGCCATCTCCCACCCAGGTAGACAGAAGTATTCTTCCTTCTTTGGCTTGTCTGATTCAAGTGTTTTAGTACTCAATTAAAAAATGCATTCCCTCAACAGCATCCAGCAGAGCTTCAGTAATATGGCTGTGGCAGAAAGGGAAAGGATAAACCAGAAGGCAGTAGTAATTAAGTCATTCAGCAGCTTACATGTTATGTTCTGTTTCTGAGGCCAGTCATGGCACGGGTGAACTGCTTTGGGTTACATAAATTAAAGTTCAGTGTTATTGCCCACAGTGACAAGTTGTTCTCTTGATCAAGTTTAAACACCAACACTTCTCCTGGCCCTGGCCATGTCACTCATTTGCTTAAAATACTTTATACTTTGACCCCTAAAAAGCCTGTCTTCTTTCTTTTAAAGGCAACTTAAGAAAGTAGCAGGTTTGTTTGGATTTTTGGTTGTGTTTTTTTCCCTTCCCATCTAACACAGAGAAGAACAGAGACTTTCAGGCATAGCTGCTTCCCCCAGAAACATATGTCATGACGTATTTGACATATATCAAATCAAAAAACGCCAGCATTTGGTGCACAGAGCCCTGGGTTTGTACTGCAGTGCCCTCAGTTACCTCTTCCTCATTCATCTCCAGCTAGTAAGCAGTTAAAGCCTGCTCACTTGAAGAAAAAAGTAGAAGGGGCACTACCACTCTCATTTATCCACTGTGGCAAAACACCTTGGAGGAGGAGGAGGACGAATCTGCCTGAGACAGCATGAGGCCAGTCTGGGTAGGCACAATGTTGCCCAGTTTTCGGGTACAATTGAAAAATGTTACGTGTTAACCACTGTTAAATATTTGGAAACCCTCCCTTGAAGTCACTCCCATTTTGCATTATAATTATTAGCTCCTAATGATAGATTCCCATCAATAAAGGAACCTGAGAAGGACCAGAAACATCTATTTATCTGGCTTACTCTTTGCCACCCTTTATTTTAGGGCTCAGTACTCAGCCTGGAATACCTATCACATGTGATAATTGTTTTGGCTGGTAATAACCATAGATTCAGGTGGACTTATTAGACAAAGCATACTTTATTTAATACTGATTCAATGCCTGCTGACAGTGCTCTCACACTGCGTCTCTCCAAGCAAGAAATGAAGTCATCCTGATTCGTGTAATGATCTGATACACATTTTGTGGCAATTTGGAAAAGCTTTTAAAATTTAAAACTTTGGTGGTTTGGGGTTTGTTGGGGTTTTTTCCCCTTTACAGTTTTGGGTTTTTTCACTTTGTGATTAGGATTTCCCAAGTGGGAGACCAAACTTTATAAAATCCTGGAAAAAACTGTTTACTCACTTTCTAGACTTCAGTTCTGCCTTTTTTTTTTTTTTACCTTTTTTTTTTTTGCCTTTTTTTCTTTCCTTTTCCCTTTCTTACTGAAGTGGAGGAGCCTACACAGTTTGTTTCTGAACAAAGTGCTGCCCTTTTCTGGCAAGAAGGGAGTCTTCTTTAATTAAAAGTGACATTCCAGAAAGTTTGCAATTAGAAAGGATCAAGGTACAAAGAGAACAGCCTGAGGAAATGCTTTTGCAAAGAGGGCAGGGATTGTTGATAATTATGATGAGGCAAGAGAAATAGTTACAATAACTACATTTAATTTCTTCTAAACTTGGGCTCTCAAAAGGTAGAAAATGCCCTGCACTTACATGAAAAGGACAGGAACAAGACCAATCCTTAGGCATATTAGATATTGCACCTGGATTTCTTGAATTACTAACTACAGAGGACAGAGCAGTTGAGGTACCACCTCAAGTATCTAAATTAAAATCTTACCTACCTCTAGCTGTAGGAAGAGCAGTGTGCAGACCACGAAGGGCATTCCTGGAAGGAACTCCAGGCAGAGATGGCCGTGTTTCAGCACGTGCAATTGCAGAACTCATGGCTGAAACGACTCCGCTGCACAGAAGTGAAGGGATTCCCTCCACCAGTGTGTCTCCAGCACACGAGTCCCTGCTGTCACATCAAGGTGGCCCAGGTGAGCCAAACAGAAAGGTGGGTGTATAACACAGGGAACCACTGTCATTTTCTGAGGCCAAACCAGCAGGGCCCTTTGGTCTGGTACTTGCGCTGTGGTCTGGCAAAGAGCAGCGTTAGCATAGTGAGCAAACCCTTGTGGGGTCATTAAGAGAGAAGTTTCTGCAAAACTTTCCTGAGTAGATTAAGAGTTTTGGGTTTTTTTTTTCCATACGATAGTTATAAATAGCACTTACCCATTTCTGAAGGCTTCTTTTCTTCCAAGCCAAATAAAAATTCATATTTGGCCTTGGCAACATTCTGGGCGTGAGCCGATACATCATTATCCCACACAAGTGCTTCTGCCTGTAGAGTCAAAATAAATAAAGCTTATCTACCTTTTGGTGAAAAAACAGCAGCAGGAACGTGAAATCCTTCCAGGTGCGCTGTCGGGAAGGATTTTCAAAGTATTCATTTAACTCTGTCACCACCAAGATCATCCAGAGCAGACATGTGCCAACTCAGAATGCTTCTGAAGAGCTTGCCTGTCTTTGAACCCAAGCATTTCAGCATTAAGCAGTGATGTCAGAGCACCCAACCACTTATATCTTTAGCAGGCTTACCCACTGCAAGGGCAGCAGCACTGGCCAACTGTGTCAGTAATACCAGTTAGGGTTAAAAATGTCAAGGGAGTAGTGTCAGAAATAGCAAATTTGAATATGTATGTCACAAAACTGGGACCCATGAGAAAACCATAAATGGGGCAGGCTGTTTCTTTGAAGAGAGGCTGGGGCAGAGAAAGGGAGGAAGGAAAAAGGGCTACAGCAAGGATGATCAAAAATGGGAAAAAGGGATAAGGTATGCAAACGTGTGGCGAGTACCATCTAAGGGTCCCTGTTGGACAGCCCACGCCTGACTGCCGCTGTCTAGCTCAGGACAATAGCCCAACCTGGTTTTATAACAATACCACACAAGTCAAACCTGCTTATCTGGCCAGGAGGCAGGGAGGAGGCACAGAGTGGTGAAGCCAGCTAGTCCTGGGCGGGGATGGATGGACAGATGAATTGAGCAACCCCTGCCCACCCATGTCTGGTGCCACCAGCACCTTCACCCTGCTCCCTCCTTGTTAAGAAGCAGTTTGAGAGAGTAAAGGTCCAGTTTCTCAGAGGAGATAAAGGCTTCAGGACTAAGATCAAAATACCTTTCTGAACAGGTGGGGACAAATCAAATCCCCAAGATAAAGCACACACCAGCAATAAGCTGTAGTGCAAAAACTATCTGCAGTCGGCATTAAGTGTCTCCCCAACTGGGCAAGACGGAGCCCGTAATTCTTCCGTTTGAAGTGACAGATGAAATAAATCATTAACTCCACAAATTCTTCAGTAAACTTTATATTCACGCTCTATGTTCGAGGCACTCAACTGTTGCAGCATAGCAAGTCGTTGCATGGTTCATATTGAAGACCTGAGCTTAGAAAAATATTCTTAAAGAAAGAAGTCAGATGGAACATTCTGCCCCCCAGGACAACAATAACTTTTATGCATTTCTGTCAAATACCTTAGGAGAAGCGTCATCTACAAACATAAATTCAAAGTACAGGGGACTGTAATTCCCAGGTCAAGGCTCTTTAATCAGCAATGGATGGAATCCATACATTCCTCCACCTCTCCAACAATTACACTTTCTTCCACGAGCATATTGGCAAATAGCTGTCTTGCCCCATGCCCTTGAATGGTTTTGCTCCAGGTTTTCCTGGCCTTTTACTCCATTTCTACTTCTGCCTTTCTGCACTGCACTAGTTCTGCAGGATTTAGTCCAACCACCACTCTGTCCAAAATAGGCAGCAGATCTTACACAGGGGTCTTGGACAGATTTATTTACCGTTCACTGGTCCAACTACTCATCACTAGAGCTCTGAGTACTCTGATGGACGTGCTAACACTAGGCTACCAAATCCTTTGGAAAAAATGTGGTGAAACAGATGAAGGGTTTTCTAGCACAAAGATGACTTCCATGAGCAAGACAAAATGAGCTTGGAAAAAGCCTCCATGTCTCTCCTGCTTTTACAGGGCTGCATTCGTTCACAGGAAGGGAGGCATGAAGGGCTAGAAGAGGAATAGCTGGACCCAGAGCTCACACAGGAGAAGGCTCTTGTCTGCAACAGCTTGGACAGGAGTAGCTTACAGAGCCAGACAAAAATTCAACCTACCCAGATATGGATGTGAAGGGGTGGGACGGCTAAAAACTAGCTGGTGCCAAATCCCAGTCACGGATGAATGAAATGGAAAATAAAATGAACAGAAGAGTCCAGTTCCTGAGCAGTCAGGAATTTCTGATCTATGCACCTCTGGGACGCAGTATTTCCATACCTCAGCCTTGCTTTTTGAGACTTCACAGACATCTGCTGCAGTGAACATCCCTGCCAGCAAACACATGTTCCAAGGGCCTGTATTTGCCTGCACCTCATCGTAAAGCAATGGAGAAGAGTCTGGTTCACAGCACCCTCTGCATTGCCCAACAACAGGCAGAAATAAGTTGTTAGATTAATGGGGTTTCCATGTACTGGGCAGCATTTATCAGAACTAGGTGCATAAAGAGAGGCTGCAAGACCTTTGTCTTGGCATCTGAAAGGGATAACTTGATTTTCAGAAGTGCTCAGCACCACTGATGAGAATTACAGATACTGGCTTGTGCATGGGAACAGCTGAACTTAACATCTATTTAGGCTGTCAGAGCACTAAAAGGAACTGTGTAAAGAAACTCCAGATCCAGGCTTAAGGAAAAAGTTTATCATATTTCATCCAAGAAAGAAATATTAAAAAAAGAACACAAGAGAGGGAGAGAACGAAGACACTGAGTTCAGAGCTCGATTTTAAGACCACTGATTTACCAGTGTTCAAGAGTGTGCTCTCCTTTTCTTCTTTCAATCCACCACTCACCCAAGCCTTGCAGAGGTCAGCATGCCCTGAAACCAGGATCCCAGAAAAGGCCTGGACAAACATTCATGGTGCTTTCCAAACTGCATTAGCAAAGATTAAATACAAGCAAGATTGAAAGGGATATAAAACTCCTGCTTAAGCCTTCTCTCTCAGCTCAAGGGCAAAGAAATCTGCATCCAGGTCATCTCGTTTCATAATTGCTTCCCTCAGAGGGCTTTAACCACCACCTTTGACGCATCTGGTCTTTGTCACTCCTGGAGAGGGTGACACTCAGAGCATCAGTCCCCTTAAATCAGCCCAGCTGTACATACAACATTTCTTATGAGCCACATACCCACTATTTTTCAGTCTGATTATGGTCTGGGCAGAGAGGCATTAAGCTCCTGCCCATTTATGCATCACTCTTGCAGTGCTTTCTGCCTGTTTGAACATGTTTCATCAAGCCTACTTCTCTCCGTCACAGTTCCTGGTCGGGAGTTGGGGCAGCTGCATTTGCCTCTCAGTGAATTTTAGATAACATTTCTGAGGCTGCATTAGTTTGGCCTTGGCAGCCCTCACCCCTCAGACCTCCTGCCAACACACCAGACCAGTTTCTGCTGACCCTGCAGAAGGCACTGGCATGGTCATTACAGGTGTCCCACCTTGCTGGCTTTCTGTTCCTTGCTGAGGGAGCAGAGATTGTTCAGGATATGGCACTCATGGTGGTTTCAGGCTAGTACGAGAAGTGAAGTTGCTGAATCCATGTCCAGCAGGAGCTGCCAAGGACAGATATGTCAGCCCAGCTGCCTCTGCTCCGCTCTGCTGTCTGGAGGTGTGAACTGGGGCTGCGGGGCAACATCTGCAAGGAGAAACTGTTCCCACAGTTCACCCCTGAGAGGTGCCTTTAGGCAGGCCCCCGACAAGAGCTGCTGCCTCTCTTGAAGCACAGTTTCTCTCTCATTTCAGCTTCAGTCATGAGCTCCCCTCAAAATGCCCTCCCAAAAATCCCAGTGGTTTTTAGATAAGCACAGTGAGTCATAAAAGCCCGAAGAAAATGCTTCTCCTTTCTCCATGGAAGAAAAGCACTGAAGCATCCTCTTTTGAATTTCACTGAGGTTCTGGTTGGGGCCTTTTTTGGGACAAACTGTTTTCTTCTTGGAGCCTTTTTTTTTTTTTCCATACCTACATGTCAGAGAGCATTAAATGAAGAGTATCAAAGTCTTGTTCTCTCACCACCATTTGCAGTTGAGCTTGACAGGAGAGCTAGGCTTCATCTCAGTGGAAAGGGATGACATTGTCCATGGCTGCTGTGACAAGGAACAGGTCAGTCTGAGCACAAGGAGCCAGTTTGAACCCATGCCTCCTGAAGTATTCACACTTAAGGTCATATGTTTTCTTCTAAAAAGCCTAATAAGGAGGAGTTTTTCAAAGGAGCAGATAATTAAATTGCAAATGTCAGTTTGGAGGTTCTCAGACTCCCTCAGAGGACAGATGCTGTCAAAAATAGACTGAATTCTTGCAGGTGACCCATGCTTGAGGAACAGCAGAATGGGATGGGTGCTCAAGCACGAGTCTTCAGGGAGCAAGAGCTAGCCAATATTCTGGACAGCAGGAGTGCACTCATGCTAAAGGAAAACATCAGTAGGAAGTGGCCTAACAACCTTTCACAGAGGGCTGTTAGCTGGGACAGAGAAATCAAAGTGTCCTCAGGGAGACCCCTACAAGCTTGCTTAATAAAACCCAGCCACCCTGTCCCCAGAAAGAAACATTACTGGAATTCTTCTAGGCTTATTGGAAAATGTGGAGGGACTGGCCTGTTAGGGTGTGGGTCTCCACAGCTAAGCCATACCATGAAGAAGCCTAAGGGGAGCCCCAGTTTTACACATTTTGCATGTGCACAGCTGCTTTTTCCAGAGCTGAGTGCCTTCCCCCTTGGCCACACCACTGCTGGATGTCAGCTCCCTGCCAGCAGGCAACAGCCCCTGCACTGGCAGCACAGTGCTTCCTGGAGGTTTCATTGAGGCTAGCGGGGAGATGCTGCAGTGGCTGCAACAGAGCTGTTGGTACTACTCAAGGAAGCAGAAAAAAAGCCTTGCAGGACGCCTGAAAAGCACAGTCTACTACAGAGAACTTCACAGTCGCACCCGCAGCATTTCTAATCCCAGGCTGTGCTTGCTCCATTCTCATTGCTTCATCAACATCTCTGGTGGCAAAAAAAACCAAGTGTCTCTCAGCAGCCTGTCATATACCTCAGTACAGTGAGTTTATGCTCTCCAGAGGAGTGTAAACTTGTACCTTCATCTTGTCTTTTGCACCCCAAAGTCTCCCCAGAGACTGGCAGAAATACAGTAACTGGTAATGGAGCTAGCTTCAAAAAAAAAAAAATAAAAAAGGGCGGGGGCAGGAATGATGGATAGAAGGGTTCTACAGATTTAAAACTTTCTTCAGCAAGTTCCCAGACAAACAAAAGTACCCTATGAGTCAAGCTACAGTGCCATGGTCAAGTTTTTATGGAATCATGCATAGCTCTGTCTCTCCTGTCACACATGGACAACCCCCCAACAGTGGCCAACCCTTTTTTTAAGCACCATTATCATTCCTGTGTATCATTCCGTAGCAAGCCTCACTGCTTTTGACAGGTCATAGTAATTGCCCTGAAAAGACTATTTCTGTTAAGCTTGTCTTAAATCACTTTCCTAAGTAACAGGATGAAATTCAGAAAGCCGGCATTAAAATAAACTTGCTGGCTGGTGAAACCTAGTGCACTGACAGCACAGAGACACTGTGGGTGCTTTTTCTGTGGGACTTCAAAAAAGAAGACTGCTACAGGAGGTTTGTAGTTTTTAATTGCATATGACCTCATGCACCACATTTGTGTTTTCCTCACACCTCCCCACCACTACTATACATGCTTGCAATTCCGGAGTTGAAGCATTAGCAAAATAGATTAAGACTCGAAAGAACAGGATTTTTGCATGGCTAAACCTCAGCTGGACCTGCCAAAACGTAATGCTAGCCAAAGTTTTGGAAGAGATCTCAGCCCGGGTTTTAAACTAATTCCTAACTATCAGAAGTTGCAGGGAGATATGTATAGAGCCAGAAGGTGGGGGAGGAAAGAAAGGGCTTGTATGAGAACACTGCCTATAGCCGTTGTCCAGCAGAGAAGTTTGGATTCTAGAGAGGGATAACAAACTCATCTAAGACTTTTCAGCTACAGGAAGGAGGCAACTGAGCAACATGTGGCAGAGGTGCCTGCAAAGGGCCTGAAAAAGACAAAGAGGTCGGTAATTCACCACCTTTTTTAATGCAACACCCAGAGTAAAACAAAATGAGGTATTAGGAGTCAGCATCACACCAAACAGGAGATAGTTCCTCATACAGTTTGTAGTCAAAACCACCAACCTCCTTGCAAAGCAATGCCACAGAAAGTAAAACACTAAGGGACCTAACAAGGAGGGTGAACAAGCTCAAGTGACACAAATCCACAACTATACGTAGAAATTGCACCCTTCTCATGAATCTCCAAGCTAGACACTTTCTAGGCATCTGCAACCTCAAACATTGTCCTGGGCTAAAGTGACCTCGGGATGTGTTTACCGGGAGCAGGCTCGCAGTAAGCAATCAGGCTGAAGAAAGCAAAACTGAAAGGGTGCAGATACTATCAGAGCTGCTCTCCCTCCTCAAAGGCAGACTTCACAAAAGTTCAGTGTCTAAAGAGAGGCTCAATTCAAGAATAAACTGCTTAGAAAAAAGCATGGAAACAGTGACCAAAAAAAATAAAATAAAAAAAAAAGGATGCCTTAGCACTACTGTCAAGCAGTTGCAGGTGAAATTTGTTTCCAGACTGGTTGCCTTGTTGTACACTTGCACTTTGAGTTTTTCTCCCCTTAAAGAAAATGTTTGGTTTGTTGTTTGGTTGAAGCTGTTAGGAAGCAGTCAGCTGTTATACAGAATTAAATGCTTTTTATTATGCAAAGGCTGATGCTGTCTGAGCTGTAACTGCATGAATGTGAACAGCATGTTAATTGAAAGTCTGTATGATTACACCTTACTATTAAAGGTCACTCAGCACTTTGTGTTTGCCAAGTCAGTGATTTTTGATGCGTGCTGTATGGACCTCTGGATGTCTACGCATTATTTCTAAGGTATGTGCAAGAATCAAAGCAAGCCCATTGAGAGGCAGGCTTTAGCTCACTGCATGAACGACCATGTTCTTAGATATAAAACATAAAAACAAAAAACACCCCAAACTTTTAACAAAGCCACAGTGCAAGTATTTTTCCTGAGTTATGCCAAGGAGCATTGGGGTGGGGGTGTGATTTAAGAAAAAGACAGCATCTCTTATTCAGAGAATTAAGTGATGCTTGCAGTAGACATATTGCATTTACTGTTTTTGATCAATCTGTTCCAAGTATATTTAGCAAATTGACAGACTGCTTCTCTGCAGCAGGTAGTGCGCTTCCATCATCTTCAGGCATCTCAGATGGCAGAACACTGTTTATACAGGCTACAGGTCTGCTCCACACAGATTTCTACTCCATGGAAGCTAAAATTTGGATACGCCCAAATGCCTCATGAGCCTCCCAGAAGCTACCTCTGTGTCTTTAAGCAACTAAATTCTTTCCAAAACACATGCCAACATCTGCTGTCCCTTGAAAACTTGCAGACCACATCCTTTCCCATGTGCTGCACAGTCTCTGTGTCCAGCTAAATATACACTGCTTTTATGGATGGAAGTAAAGGACAAGGTATTGGGCAAGCTCATTTTCATTTTTCAAATCAATATTACAAGCATGGTTTAAGGTAGTGTCTCAAAGTGATTAAAATACTCAATTACAGTGAATGGTAAAAAAAAAAGGAAAAAACAGAAACAAAATAAAAAATAAACAAAAAACCACAACAACGTCACAAAAATCCAAACAAACAAAAACCCAAACAAAACAAAAACAAAAGCAACCCAAACAAACAAA